TCCTTCAAATAAGACAACGCATCATTAGTTGTCAACTTTTGGGTGCTAGCACTAGCACCTGCTTCACCTCCGCCTGTGTTGTTGCCACCTCCTCCTCTGCCCAAACCACTTCCAGGAACTTGTGATTGACCATAGCTTCATCCCCGAAAGAGAAAAAGGAAAAACATTACACATCAGAACCACAGCCAAAAGTTGCCACTCAAATTTATTGCTGTTGTCCTCCCCCAAACCATATACTCCTTAATAGGGTTAACTTACACTCTCATCCACCTTATACCAATGCTAAGTTTGGGCTAAAATTAAAAGCTTTTGATAGTTCATTCAGAATTGACAAAACCCTTAATACCATATAACCAAATAAACAGTCGTTCTGTTGCTAAAGTTCTTGCCTTTACCCTAAAATCAATTAACAGAAACAGACAAACAAAAAGCAAACTAGACCCAGCCAAACAAAAGCAGCACGAGTAAAGATCGAATCTTTATCTTTAGTTCTGCCTTATAACACTGAGTTGTTAGAGTAAAAATGATAGGACCTACTCTAAGTCATTAGATATGGCAAAAAATGTCATCTAACAATTTCTGATCACAAAATTATACCCACCACACACCTTATTAGCAACTAAAAATCACTGATTTACCTAAACTTACCAAGAATTCAACAAATTCAAAAAAAAAAAAAAACCTTGCATCAAAACAACTCATGTTTACATAAAATGAACAGAAGGGAAAAGAGCTTACGATTCTCCACGAGAAGAACCAAATGGCCGCTTCAATTGAGGGTTACCATATCCATCCTCTCTCAATCGCTTCATGCTGTAAAAAAATAAAACAGAAACAACAAGTTTAACAATCAAATAGAAGACCTCAACATATAAAAAATAAAACTAACATGCTCCATTTTGCTAAAAACAACTCACTTTTTGAAGTTTTCCTCAGATTTTCTGAGGAAGCAAAAATAAAACTCTCAGCAGATCTAATAACAAAAACAAAAGAGTTAATTCAATGGTTTAGATCAGATAAAAAGAATTAACAAAAAATCTCAAACAATTCTTATTTCTACCTTTTCGTTTCCCCTCTTCTGTTTCCCTCCTGAGAACTACTAACACAAGTTTGAGAAACGAAGAGGTAAAAGGGCTAAAAAAAATTGAATTAATACGAAGAAGAAAAAAATAGTGCTGTATATCTTATGTACCGTGACTCAGTTTATGTAACTCCAATTTCTGACGATGCCATATATATTGTCTCAAATTTGTTTGAGGGAAAAAGGCTATAATTTTGAAATTCTTTTGCCCTTTACGTGGGCTGCTGCGTGTTGTTGATTTCAAATACCTATATGCTTCCTATGGGCTCAATATTAATGACAGGTGTGTACATTTTTTGAAGTTTATAAATTAGCCCAAAAATTGTTATGCCTTCACCTACTATTTGATTGATACATTGTTTGTTAAATTTGGTTTGATATGTTTAATCTTGGAGTTATGTTCATGTTTATGTTCTAATTTTAGAGCTTAACCTAATAAAATGTGCGCGCGTAAATAAAGAATATGCGCGGTGCGTTTTAACTGAAATAACGACTTTTTTTGTGATAGATTATAGTAATTTGTAGAATGATAATTGTAATCTGTGAAGGTTATATAATGCACGTAAAAGGAAAAAAAATGTACTTCTTTCGACGCAATTACGCATTTAACGTCATATTAATGCAAGTCATATTTCCTTAATTAGTTTGCTAACTAAAATTGTGAATATCGTAACAAAGTATGTCCAAATTAAAGCAATGATAAAAGAATTGAAATTTATGAAATCATATTAAAATCTAATCCAATTGATCTGAACCGATTAACAATTAATTACTTATTATATATATATAACTTACCTACATCACCCAAACGATATAAATTTGTAATCGAGATATATAAGAACAATCCCATAAAATTAAAGGAGAGATCGTCATCTTTCTCTTCCCAGTAACACAACACAATCAAATGTGTTTGAGTGACCAATAGATGGATTGATTTGATTTGTTTGGTGAAATTATCATTGTAAAAATATTATTTCTACAAGTAAGGTATTTTATATTCAAAATAATATTACTTCTAAGAAACCAATCATCACTCAAAGAGCGTCACATAAAAATATTGATTGTTCTTTTTTTTTTTGCATCTTAAAAAATTTTCTCTTTATTTTGTAAATTCGAGAAGTAATAGAGCCTATCAACAAGACACTAAGACGACATACAATATTTGACTTTCGAAATTATGCCTCACAATTACTAGATTACTCTTAGGTAACATAATTAGATGACAATTATGAGATTTATTAAATTTCCACAAAATGCAATTAGTTTTTTGTTAATATTTTTGGTGAAATAATAAGTTTGTAGTCAATGCAATCCACCTTAAATGGCAAGAAATTTTATGTGATCAGATCTCCTTTTCTTCAATATTGAATACGGGTATAGTTTATGTGATCTCCGACAAAACACTAACACTATATTAGATAATTGATTTTTTTTTTTTTTTTTT